GGACAGCGGGGAGCCCCGCGCTCCTGGACACCCGCGGCACCCCAAGTGTCTGCGCTGGGTCTGGTCCGCCTGTGGCCGGCGCAGAGGCGACCCACGCGCTGGGGTCCTTTCCGAGCCTCCCCAAGTCCCCCTCGAGTCCTCCCGTTTTGTGGTCTAGCGGGAGCACCTTTTAATCCATACATCTGAGTTAGAGGGCCATTAGCTAGCTGCCCGGCCGTCGCACCCCAGCCAGCTGGGGGGGTGCTGGCGAGGCGGGGGTGCAGTGCGAGCCGCTGGCGAGGCTCTCGCCCGGGTGGCGTGTTCCGGAACCCATCCTTCGAATTAGCCGAGTCAGGCAGAGAGGGGGCGGGGAGCGCTTCCGCCCTTGCTAGGAGGGGCTGCATTGCAGGGGAGACCCGGCGGCCGACTCTGTCACAGACGAGGGAGAAGGCGTGAGGAGACAAAGCCTCTCGTCCCCCCAGCGAGCTTCCTTCGGCAGCCGCCTCCTCTCCGGGCCAGAGCCGACCCCCGAGCCCCTGGGGCACCCCCTCCATCTTCGGAACGCGCTAGTCATTGATTGATAACAGGTAAAACCTAGATGAGGGGCGCCTTCTCAGGCTTGGAAGACACCCCCGTGTGCGACTAGGTGGGGGACGGCTGAAGAGGAGGGAAGGGGGCGCTCTGAACAATGGGTAGCTGGTACCAGGTTTTTATCTCTGTGGAGATCTCCATCTGTGCCGCCTTATCATGGACCTAAGCGTTCATTTCTGGCACTTCACCTGTAATTATTTCTCGGCTTTTAGCTCCTCATTTCATGTATCCATTTTCCTATAATTTTTGCCCTGGGCATCTAATGACTTCTGTCTAGTGTCTAGTTATCTGTATCTTCCTTTCCAAGCTGTAATTTTTGCTACCAGTTATTTGGTGAATCTTTATTCCTACTAGCCTGTAGGAATTCCTGTAGCCTCTACTTCTTTATATTTCCACCCCTTCACTGCCCTGTATCAGTTGGGAGTTTTGGGGGACTAGGGTACCCTTTTTTCCTTTTCCTCTTTTTTTTTTTTTTTTTTTTTTTTAAATATGGGATACTATTGAGAATGATCCAAACCTTTAACAATCTCCTCCCTGTCTCAGATTTTTTACTCCAAAGAGCCTTGAGGTAGGACAGGTGGGGGCGACCGTGGAATTGCCTGATGGCATGTTGCGATCAGTGCAGCCCACAGGAACCACTGGTGAGAGCAAATTTTCCTTTGCAGCCCCTCTCTTAATTAGCGGGGAAGGTTGTGGCTGATAGGAAAATCCTAGAGCAGCATGAGAGATACCCGAGAGCTCCCATGTCCACCCTCCATCCACCCTTAGGCTGTACAGAAGCATGACACAGCATCCAAGCCTGTGGGGAGGCCTTGGATGCTCATGGGGAGCGGGTCTGGACAAAGGGTATTTGGGTGTGTCCATGTGGCTTAAAGAAAGCATATCTTTTTAATGTGTGTAGTTGTTAATCATTGTATCTCTAGGAACTGACAATGAAATTTAGAAGTTACTTTGCCTAAAATATCTGGATAATTCAAAATGGATGGCATTGGGAAACGTTTATTGAGCGGGTATCATGGCATCAGTCACCATCTAGCGCCTTTAAAATTCAAAATAGGTGGGGCTGAAGAGGTGGCTCAGGGGTTAGGAGCACTGGATCCTCTTCCAGAGGACCCGGGGTTCAATTCCCCGGTACCCACATCAGAAGATATGACATCTTCACACCAATGCACATAAAACAGAATTAAATAAATTATTTTTTTAAAAAAAGATAATAATAGGTAAAAAGATGGGTGAAGGAAATTTAAGGGAGGAACAGGGAAGCCAGCTTAAAAGCAGCCTGTCTTTTTATTTTAACGCCACATAATGCCCATACGTCTATTTTCGGGAACTAATTTGGGTCTCTGTACATGTCTCAGGGCTGGAGATTTTCATCGTTTTACTATTTCCTTTA